CATACCTAAGTTCCCAAACCTAGTGGGAACATCAAAAAAGGCACGACCAGACTCGTCCTTTGCCAGCCACTCTCCCGAGGCAAAGAACCACTTTCCTATCCATCCCTTGATGGAGGTCGGCCCCTTGACTATGCCACCTGCGCCTTTCCTTGCGCACATGTAGTACCGACCAGGCTTCTTAGCTATCCTTTTGGCTTCGAAGCATCCAAGCAGTTGCTCGACACTTAATAGCTCGGCCTCGTCCACATCCCGAGCTCGCAACCAAAAAAGGATGGCTGAGGCAAAAATGACACCCCACCCATTGGGGGCCACTTGTGCCGGCGTCAAACCAGTTCGGTTGAGAAACTCTTGAGCAAAAGGGTGGAGAGGAAGTCTGAGGCCGTACTCAAACATTTTCAAGTAAAGAGTGACCCATCCCTCTGGAGGATTGTCAGCTCTTTCCCCTTCCTCCGGAACTCTAAGGAGGATGTCATTCGGAATTTTAAACCCCCTACGAAGGGGTCCGAGATAGTGCTCGGGCATTCTAGAAGGGTACTCTAGATCCTGGCTCGAGGTGGAGGTATCACTATCCTCTCCATCATCTGAGAACCTAAAGTTCTCTATTTCTTCCAGCTCGGACTCTAACCTACGAGCTAAGACCTCCCTAGAATCACTTGGTTTGGGGGTGAGCTACTTATGGTTCGACCTACGCTACCCAGGCTATCACTACTGAAGGGGGAAGACAGGAACACCACCATATTCGAAAAGTAAAAGTGCAAATGACTGACCTACAAAAGGTTCGAGCTGGTTTCAGATCGAACTCCAGAAATTCAGGAAACGTAGGGTTTGACCTGAAGTTTCGGGACTATTTATAGCTGATCGGAAAAACCTCTGCGCCGTACACGTGTAATCAACGAGCGGCTAGGATCTTCTCGAGCTACGCAACGGCGAAACACTTGAGTGCTCCGACAACCTGGCAGGTCGAAACGTCTTCCGCAACGGTCATATTCCCTCTACAAATGAAAAGTCGCCACGTGTCCAAAATAGATTCGAATAAACTTCTCTGTTAGGTCGAGGTCGAACCTGACAGAGAGGGGGCCAATGTTTGGGAGTAAATGTACCCGAGACACGTGGAGGACCCTTATTACTGTTTGAAGAAACCAAATAAAATGGATTGCTTAGGTCCACCTCGGCCCCGCCGAGGTGGTCGGGTTTGCCCGTTATAAAAGACTAAGTATGGGCACCAAGGTTCGACCTGATTGGGGTCCGATTTGCTCGGAACCCGACAGGTCTGATATGAGAAAAGACACATAACCGCCGGTCGTGTGTACTGTCGAATCCATCACCTATAAATAGAGGACTTCATTTCACGCTCAGGTATCGAATCTCACCTCGAACTAAATAAGGAGTCTGATCTATACTGACTTGAGCGTCGGAGTGCTTACCCTCTTGTGCAGGTCCACTCTAGTGTTCAGATCGGAACCGAGGACCGGGTTCGAGCTCGATTCGTGAAGAACCGTTGTGCAAATTCCTGCATAAACAAGTTCGAACCTCACCCTCACATGTTGTATAAAAACAAAATAAAGCAGCATAGATAGTGATTAAAATAAGCTTAAAACCAATAAAATATTTGGAAATTGGAGTTAAAACACAACATTGAAGAAAAATAATAGTTGTTTATAAAAGCTACCGAATACGAACTTTTTCTACCGCAAGTTGTTTAAAAGTAAAAAATAAAAGATTCTAGAATGGTTGACCATAACAAAAGAAAGAGTATTTAAACCGAAATGATTCTCACTCCAATCCATCATCCATGTGATATAAAGAAAAATAATAATAAAAAACAAGTTTCGTTCAGGCAGGATCATGGTGGAATCAGCGCCATTAATTTTGAGTGTAGGAAGAAGAAGAAGCTTTGACCCTTTCTTCTGCAGTTCTCCGGTACAGAACAAATTTCACTCACCATCACCAACGGATCTTCAGATCGCCGATTCCCATGGTGTTCGCTTTGGGAGCTTTTTCCCCCATCATCTGTGCCAGCCGCATTCCCGCCGCCGCCACCGCCACAAATCCCAGCTCCACCTCCCACTTCTTTGAAGCCACCTTCGTCCGTCGTGCCGTCGAGATTTCCGACAAGTCCGCCGGATTCACCGCTCCCCATCCCAACTATGGCTGCATCATTACCACATCATCGGGCGCGGTCGCCGGCGAGGGTTTCCTCTACGGTCAGGGCACCAAACCCGCCGAGCTCCAAGCCGTCGAGGCCGCCGGTGAGCTGTGCCGTGGAGCTACCGCGTTTCTTAATTTGGAGTCCAGTGACTGCCCCAGCGACAACACTGCGGTGGCTGCTTTAGTCCAGGTTCTAACGCAGCTTCGGTTGTTTGTTTCAACTGATGAATTCATGCTTCGTTTTTGTTCTTTGGTGTTTGATTAGAGCTCCTGGAAATTGAGAGAGGGATGATTAGTTTGGAATTGAATTGGTAGAAATTGTATCTTCAAGGAACTGATATATTTTGAACTCTCACTTTAGTTTTCTGGAGTAAGCAAGTAATAATGTTTGAGGATATGAATGAAGGGTTAAATATATTTTAACCTATCATCTTTAAGTTTTTGATATTAATGGTAGTCTAGAGAACAGGAGGTTGTGTGCTTGAACCTCTGTAGTGTCTTTTTCTTGCCAAATTAATATTGATAATTACTTGTTTCATGCCTATAAGTGTAGAGGAGCGTTAAAAATATGAATACATGGTGAAGTATGCCCTGTTGTGTAAACGTGGTTTGAAACAAGTAATGGTTAATCTTGTTAAATCAAATGAAGGGTTTCCTTTATTTTAGAAGGTGCTGCTTTTGTTTCTCTTTCTTTCGAAAGTCTTTTCATTTACTCTTGTTTTATTGTTATTATTTTTTCAAATTGGTGATTGAGACTGCACAATTAGGCAGGGATTGAAAGGGTAGTTGTTGGAATGCGGCATCCTTTGCAACACCTAAGAGGAAATGCTGTGAGGGCTTTAAGAAGTCATGGAGTTCTCGTTGATGTTCTTGGAGAGGACCTAAAGAGCAGAGCCGTTGAGGTAATTAATTGGAATAGTTGAATCACGACTGTTCTCTGCCTCACTTTATTACGTGTTGAATTGATGCCATTCAGTCTATTTCCTATTCTGGTTTTCCATAATGTTTGCTAATTGCTTAGATACAGGTTACTTATATGAATTGTTGATTTGTGCTATAGGAAGCTCGAAAAGCATGCCTCCTCGTTAACGCTCCATTGATCTGTAAAGCTGCATCACGAGTGCCTTTCTCTGTACTTAAATATGCCATGACCCTTGATGGTTAGTATTGTAGTATCATTTCCCTTCTGATTTCAAGAGGATGACTTATCCTCTCGATTATGTTCATTGTCTTTTTTTCACTGAACTTTTTTCCCTCCTGGTAAAATGTAGCCTTCTGGTTTAATTACTAATTGTAATTCTATATATATGAAGGTCAGAATAGTTCATTGAAGTGATTTTATTTTAATTATCAGGGAAAATTGCTGCAAGTAGTGGTCATGCAGCATGGGTTAGTAGCGTTACTTCTAGGCACCGGGTTTTTGAGTTACGAGGAAGAAGTGATGCTGTTATAGTAGGAGGCAATACAGTACGCAGGGATGGTGAGTTTCACCATTTTCTATTACTGCTCACCATTTTTCTATTACTGTCTTGTTGTTGATTGGCACGAGTTGTTAATAGTGCTTCAGTAATTTCCCCAAATGTTGTCCTCTATATTAGATCCCAGACTGACAGCAAGACATGGTGGTGGGCACATTCCTCTCCGTGTTGTGATGTCAAGGACACTTGATCTTCCTGAAGTAGCAAATGTTTGGGACACAAGAGGCATGGCAACAATGGTTGTAACACAAAGGGGTGCTAAAAGGAGTTTCCAGAAACTGCTTGCATCAAAAGGAGTTGAAGTAGTGGAGTTTGATAATCTAAACCCTCGAGATGTAATGGAATATTTTCATGATCGTGGATTTCTTTCAATTTTGTGGGAGTGTGGAGGGACCCTTGCAGCTTCAGCCATTGCATGTGGAGTAATACACGAGGTTCTGATATTTTTTCTTTTGATCTATATGGTTAAGTCCCTGATGTATACTTCTTAGCTATAACAAAGTTATATGAGATGAAATTTTCTTCCTTTTAGGTGAATTCTGGCGTAAGGAAAATATTGTCCTGTATATAATACAACTCGAGCATGTATGTTTTATTTGGGTATGTGTTTGTGTCTGACATATTGCTGATGCCTGGCACTAACACAAGAATATGATAATTTCGTAAAATCAGGCTTAACAAAGAAGACTCCTGACCAAGTGGCCACTTCTTTCTCTCTTCCCTTTCATATGGATGAATTTCACTAGGAATTTCAAGCAAGTTTTAGAATTTGTCTGACTCCGCATCTTTCATATGCCTTATAGATCTTCTAGGACTAGTTTCGATTCTGTGATGTCCTTTTCTTGGATAGGCAATCATAAGTTGAGTAGGGTTAGGGGGTAGCCCACCCATCTTTCCAAAATAAATATCTTTGCCCATTGCCAACTCTACAAAGAGAAACTGTTCAAGCAGCATTTTCTGCCTCTCAAATGTATTATTGTAATATCTAATGCTAACGTTTAAATCGAATCACATTCCCAAAGAAAAAATATTAGATGGGTCTCTAATTCTAAGAGTAAGTAACTCCAAATGCATGAACTGTCCTTCAAGTAAAACTAACTAGTATAATGGGGTACAATAAAATATTATAATTCTGTCAGCAGAAGTGAAACTCAATTTATGGCTCATTAGTATAAACTGTATGTTATTCACTACATTTTTACCCTCAAATATGACATTCACTTGTTCTATTAGTACATTAATGTACTCTCATCACCACCCATTTAGACTATCAGTACTAATGCTGCAGATATTGTTCAATTCAGGTTTTTGCATTTGTTGCTCCTAAGATTATTGGGGGGAGGAATGCGCCTTCTCCTGTTGGTGAACTTGGGATGGTTGAGATGTCTCAAGCTTTGGAACTAATTGATGTTCAATATGAGAAGGTTAATTTTAATTTATTGTGTTCCCAACATTTAGAAGTTATTGTTCATAATGTGGAATAATACTCCTCTTACCTCCACTTCATCTATTTATTTGTTTATTTTTAATATTCATTTCCCACGTCAGTCTTCTATGATATGGGCAAAATATCTCCTTTTTCTTTCCTTTTGTGTGTGTGTGTGTGTGTATGTTGGGGGGCGGGGGTGTGGAGTTTGGTCCTCCATACTTTAAGAAACATAGAAACTCCAGTAAGGTTCCCGTGATTGTATACTTTAGAAATAGCAATTGTTGAACACAAATTAGTGTTGAATCTTTTATATATTTGTTTTTCTTTTTGAAGTTTAAATTAACATATTTAAAACACCAATATTGAAGAGAAAATAATGAAATTTGGATGAGAAATACGTGATTCACTTTGCATTGGTTATTTGGACATTCTATTTTAAGCTTCTTTTCTATAAGTCATTTATACATCTAAGTTTGCTTAATTGGTTTTGAATTTATTTAAAAACTTTAGTTTCAACTTTCAAGACTTGCAACATTAGATATATGTAATTGTTAAGAGTGTACTTACTACACATAGAAATCCCTCCTCCCTCAATTTTGCTTGAAATTGATTTTCCTGGAGAGTTGGTGTTTTGTCCCCTCCACATGGCACATACATCCATGTATATTGCTTCATTTCATCTACAAGAATATATGGATTTCATTCTGACTGGGATCAGACTATGGCTTACAGGTTGGAAAGGACATGTTAATTAGTGGATTTCTTCAACCGATATCAGATGTTGCTCCAGTCATCCCATCATGTGATGAAACCTTTGCAATTGACCCGACAGTTACTCCCTATGAGTCAAATATTATATTCTTTTACAAAACATGGGATCCTTATGGCGCTTTTTCAAACTTTTCACGTCACCCAATTCATCTCGCAGATGAAAATGGTAATGACTGCACTTGGTTGACTGTAGAGCATTATTATCAGGTACTCATCCTTGCTTGAATTGTCTTCTCACTTTTAATATGCAGAATAGTGCTTAACCTTGCTTGAATATACAGGCTCACAAATTTGTGGGTGTTGATGATCCAGTAGCTCAGGATTGTGTGGAAAAGATCAAATCAGCAAGAAGTCCAGAGGAAGCAGCAAGGATAGGAAGGTCAATGCAGAAGCAGCACCCTAAAATGGTACTCCTCATACTAGATTTGATTTTAGTCAGTTTATTTTGTATGAAACTCATAGATTAAAATATGTTTTTGGAATGTTGGTGCTCTGTGCTTTTGCTCCTAGTTGGATGATATACTCATGAAGTGATAAGCTGGATTTTACCTCAGCCCATACATATCTATATAGGCAGTAATATTTGTATTATATCAATGGACACACTATACTTTAGGGATTTATCATTTTTGAGAAGAATATTGGGGCACGGTGAGACAATGAAGCGAAGCATAGCTGGTTAAGATATCGGTCTAGATACTGTAGTACAAAATGCTAAGTTTGACAGCTTCGTGGGGCTATTTTTTGATTAGTTAGATACTTGTAGAATATCTTTTATTATATTGAACTATTTCCCAAGAAGAATTATGAAGATATCTTCACTTGTTCACTGGTTGCCCCTCTGGGTTGTCTTGGTGTGTTCTTGAGACATCTTTTATTTCCTTCATGGGCTATTCTGTGTGGGTTCAGTTGGGTGTTAGAGCCGAAGTGTTGTGGTAAGATGCTTGTAGAGCTCTTTGCTAGAATAGTTCATTGGATAGGAATTAAGGACATCTTTCCAGACTTGGAAAACTTTGTTTAATACCAATGTAGTAAAAAGAAAAGAGAGAAGTAAATTTTCTCCTTCACCCAGAAAAGGGTTGAAGATTATGTAGTTAGCAAAAATATTAGTTCTTCTCAAGAAAGATGAGGTTGCTCATCTTTTGTAAAGCTTTTACCTAGTATTTGGTGGTAGTTTTGAGCCTGTTCGGTAATGTTTATGTTTTTTGTTTCTTGTCTTTCATCTCATGTTGTTTCTCGTTTTTTCTTTTTCAATAAAGAAAAACAGAACGGTCTTTGGTAACTGTTTTTTGTTTCGTGTTTTTTTTTTATATTGAAAAAAAAGTAAAAACATATTTGATAACCGTTTCTTGTTTATTGTTCTGTATAGTTTTTAATTAAAATAGTAAAAATTTTATATGAAAATTAGATTTTAAAATTAATTATTAAAAATTTTTATGTTTTATTTATTTTTTTAAATAGTTATTATGCATTTTTTTAAGTAGAGGATGATAAATAATGCTTTTATTTATGTTTTGAAAAAAATTGTAAATGGAAATAAGAATTAAGAAATTTGATTATGTTGTACCTTTCTTAGAAATGAGAAACGAGAAATATGAATCGTTACTAAATTTTTATGTTTCTCAAAAACTTGAAATGAAAAATAGAAAAGAGAACGTTATCAAACTGTCCCATAATTTTCAACCATCAAATATAATAAGAACAATTGAAAATCCTGAAGGAAAAAGAAAAGAGCTATATGTTAGCACATCAAAACACATTAGCTTGAACTAGTAAGAGCTTGTGCACATGATAATACTTGGGATTTGTCAATTTTCCTTGCAGATAAGATCTGATTGGCGAACTGCGAAACTCAATGTTATGTACCGAGCATTGAAATGCAAATTTTCAAGTTACCCTCACTTGAAATCAATGCTGCTATCAACTGCTGGATCTGTCCTCGTCGAAGCATCACCACATGATCTCTTTTGGGGCGGAGGCCGAGATGGAGAAGGTCTTAACTACCTCGGAAGACTTCTCATGCAGTTGAGAGCCGAGTTCCTTGGTCAGTCTTCGACACCAAACAGGAGCAGCACGGAGTTCAATTAACATAGAGAACAAGAAAGAAGATCAACAATCACAGGATTAAAGGTATTATATAGTTCAGAATTCAATGAGCAATTTCCTCATTCTGACCCCAAAATACAGTCTGATTATCTGTAGGCAGCTAATACTGCCTATTGTAATTTACATCTTTTCAAATAATGAAATAAAAAGAGGAAAATGCTCTGTCGCAGATTTTAAATACTGGGCAGCCTCTTGTTTTATTACAAACTTGTATGTTGGAACTTTTGAGCTGTTTTTATTTTCCCTTTTTTTGAGGTGAGGACATTGTTAATGACTGAATATTTTCGTATTTATTCTATTTTGAGATTTACTCTATTTTGATTCTTGAACTTTTAAAAATTTTCATTTCATCCTTGACTATAGAAAGATGACTATTTTGATTGATGCAGTGCTTCTGCTATCAACTGCAACTATATCCAATATCGAGATATCGATTTAACTATTTTATGTAGCGTCTGGATATGCTCGTACCAACTTGACTAATATATATGTTCAAAATCATACCATCTGTTTAAACAGTTGATGGGGGATTAACGAATGATCTTTGTTTAGAAGTTGTGAACTAAAATGGAATTTAAACTATCATTTTTAGTAGTCTGTTTAAGACTTAATGGTCAAGTTGGAAGCCATTACATTGTACCAACTCCTTTGGAAATGGAATAGGTAGAATGGGTAGTAAATGGAAGTTAAAGTTGTCAATGTAAGCCTAGGTCAATTGGTTAAAGATATTTAGTTGAACCAAAAATGAAAAAAATTCGACCTGTTTGGTAACGTTATCGTTTCTTGTTTTTGTTTTTTCATTTTTAATAAAAAAAATAGAATTGTATATTCCAACACCATGAATTCAAGAATGATCAAATAATATTTATATTTATTATATTGTAACAGATTAGAAATGGAAACAAGATTGTTTCCAAAATTTCTATATGAGAATGTTTTCAAAACATGGGAAACAAAAACATATTTAATTACAAAATGCTTAGTGTTTTAATAAAATTTGGAAACAATAACAAGAAATAGAAATGTTACCAAACAGATCTTAAGTGATCCCTTTGTTATGCCAGCTAAGCTTATATTGGTACAAATGTCGTCGTGGCAACCTTTTGGAGAACTTGGTTTGAGGGAAATCAGAGAGCATTCAGAAAAAAATCTAGTAATATTGATACGTTTTGGAACTCAATCAAACTCTTTGCATCCATTAGTGTTCCATTTTTCTAAACCTTTTTGCACGATCTTGTTCATATTATGACCAATTGAGAATCCTTTTTGTAACTATTTTAGCTTGTCGGGATATCTCATCTTTCCTTTTTTGTATGATCTTACTCATCAACATATTCTTTGTTTCTTTTCGAAAAAAAGGACTTAAAGGTTGACGTGTTTCGTTGATAATATGAAATATATATAAAAGTTGTTTCTAATTACATTAACAATCAAATCGTATGTAAAGGCAAATTGTGGTTAGTTTTGAAAATGACATTTTAGTTTACGAGATTTAGAAAATAGTTCTAAATAATTCCTGAGTCAAGTTGACTTGGTCTCTCGTCTCTCATCTCTCTCCTTTCTCATATCCTCCCCATTCTTCTTCTGTTGCTCGCACTCAAAATTCTCACTCGTTTTGAAACGAATAAGCTGGAAAGCAGAAAGGAATAATGTTATATAGGTTAAATAACAAATTTAGTTCCGAACTGTCAAGTTTGTGTAAGTCCCTAAACTTTAAAGAGTATTTAATAGTCTCCAAACTTTTATTTTTGTATCTAATAAGCCCATGAACTTTAAATGTGTCAAATAGATTCCTAAACCTTTAATTTTGTATTTAATAGTCCTTCACCATTGGATATTTTTTAAATCCACATACCTATTAGATATAAAATTAAAAATTCATGATTCAATTAGAAATATAGATACAAAATTCAATTTTATGTCTAATAGATTTGCTAATTTTTTAAAATGTTGATTATGTCATTGGTCTATTAAAATTTTAGAAACCTATTAGAAATTTTAAAAGTTCATAGACTTATTAGACGCCAACTTGAAAGTTGTATTAACTTGTAATTTAATTTATCTAAAAGTTTAAATTTAATTTTCGTCCCCAGACTTTCGAGATTATTTCATTTTAGTCTCTAAACTTTCAAAATATCTTTTTTAGTTCCTAAAAGTTGTAGGTTTATTCCATTTTAGTACATATATTTTCAAAATATAGATTTTAGACCTTGAATTTAAAAAAAAATAATTATTTCAGTTCTTGTACTCTCCCATCAGTCGCTTAACACATAGGTAGCATGGTTTCAAATGTGTATTAATGTGTTGAGGTAGGATTTATTAAATAAAAAAAATCAATTTTGAATTCGAAATAGGGGCTCCCCTTTCCCTAAATCTCTCCACTCTCTCTCACTGTGTGTGTGAGTAATATCGTGTGTGGAGTTTTCTCGAGAAAACAGAGAGAGTGAGAGTTCTGTAAAAACACACACAGAGAAAGAACCTAGATTGGATTGTCTCAAAATTCTTCACCACTTGAAGAATTCGGACGGTGAATCGTGAGATTTTTCCATTCGTGATTGATCTCCGACCGTGACTTGGTTTTCGTGGATTCTGCTGCGACACTACAAGAGGTTAGTATCCTATACCCACGAAAAACCAACATTGGTATCAGAGCCAGGTTCTTCATAAAACTGGACTTCTCTGTCATACATTTTTAGAAAGTACGTTTGAAGAGCGTTCCAACGGTATATGGTATGAATTTTTTCGATAAGTATTGAATAAGTTATGAATTTTTGAAGTTTCATGATGAACTTGCATATTCTGAAATTTAGTGCTACTGTTTGTGGCGCCCCCACAAATAAAATTATAAAGGGAAGTTTGTCCCCTACCACCTTTGCAAATCACCTAATTATTACATGTTATTATGTTTTATTGCTTAGAAACGATCTGTTTTTATTTTGTTTCCTTAGTGATTTTGTCCTAATTTTTGGTGTGTCACAATCACCTTCGTGATTTATTTTTCTGTATTTGTTACAGAAAATATGGCAAGGATGATAAAGACACCAAAGGTCCCTAGGACAAAAGTTAGGAGGGCTGTAGTGAATAAGAGGGTCATGAATTAGATTTAATATACTTAGTCCAGTATATAATCCAAGTTAATAATCAGCTTCAAATGATTATTTGGGAAGGAGGTTCACTGCTAGATGATCAAAGACTGAGTGTCTTAAGATCACTCTTACCTCTCGAGTGCCTTAAGACCTTCTTAGATAATGTCTGGAGTCGATACAGTGGAGATGACCTTTACAAGATAGTGACTACAGCTTTTGTCCATGAGCTCGGTATATGAGCTGCTTTGGAAAGGCATAAGGCCTTTGTCTATGGAGAAAGAATCTGTCTCAACCAAAACAAACGTGGAGTGGTTGTTTGCAACCACAAAATTCCAATAGTTCTTTATGAAATTTTAAAAAAATTCATTTCCTGTTTGTCGAATGCAATTGTAAATGTTTTCATGTACATGTTTATGTATGTATTGTTGCTGATATATATACTAAATGAAAATTGTGCCAGCCTTCAGGGTTTAATTTTACTATGGGCTATGAATGATGATTGTGTTTCATTATTATCGTACACTTTTTGGTAAAGTATTTGTTTATTTTACAATGTGATAAGTTTGTCTATAATTATTTGGTTCAAACATTGACGATGATTTGGAAACTTAGTGAAATTTCGACTCGGTGTTGAACAAAATAATTATGATGAAATTTATTTGAAATTTGAAAAATATTAAGGGGTAGTGTGTTATGCATGTGAATTGATATATATGCTAATATGACATGTAGACTCTAAAATATGACATCTGCTTCAAAAAAATATAATTGCTGAATTGAACAAAGGAGAGAAGCTTAATAGGGATAAATATGAGATTTGAGCCATGAAAATCTAATATGTACTGGAAGAGCAAGAGGCTCTAGAAGTGTTAAGAAATGTGTTGCCTGAGCCTGAAGAAGGCAATAATGCTCAACATAGGAGGGACAAAGAGGCTTATGAAGCCTGGAAGAAGAAAACCTCACTTGCTCGCATAACTTTCTTGAGCAGAATAGCAACGATGTCAGCATAACAACACATAAGAGAGATGTCTAATATGGTTAGTGAGCTGAAAGAAGTTGGTCATGTCCTGACTGATGAACAACAAGTTCAAGCTGTTATTCAATCTCTTCCCCAAAATTGGAAACACATGAAGGTGCATCTTACCCATAATGAGAGAATTTTAACTCTTACTGATGTTTCACGTCGTCTTGAACTGGAAGAAGACCGTATAGAGGCAACAAGGCCTTACAACGCAGCCTATGTGGCTGGTCGTGGTTCACATGGGAACAAAGGGCACAAACGTAAACATCAGGAAGGTTTTAAAGGGAAAGGAGATCACAAGAATAAGAAACCCAAGCAATATCAGAATGACAAGGATAAGGAGAAGCGTTCCATGGTTCGTCCTAAAAACAAGAAAGCAAATATCAAGTGCTACAATTGTCACCAAAATGGTCATTGCTCGTGAGTGTACTGAACCCAAGAAGGTACAAACTTTCAAAATGTTTAAGATTTGTTCTTTTACTTCTGAAAGTTGTGTTTCTAGCTTTGTCTTATTGACTGACTCTCATCCTTTGTGGACTGTAGACTCAAGAGTAACCGACCACGTAGCTAAAGATCGTGGGGTGTATGTGGAATTTCGTCGAATTTCATCAGGAGCTAAGTGGTTGTATGTAGGAAACAATGCCCGTGTGCCTGTAAAGGGCATTGGTTCCTACAAGTTGCACATGCGAAATGGACGCACTCTACTTCTGCATGATGTGTTGTATGCACCTGATATTCGGCGAAATTTGCTTTCTGTTACTGTCCTTCTCAAACTTGGTTACACTTTTACTTTGGCTGGAGACTTATTAACTCTGTCTTTGAACAACATACATTATGGTTATGATTTTCTTTTTAATGGTTTTATTGTACTAGATGTTGTTGAAACGATATCTTACAATTCTGCAAGTTTTTTCCTTATAACGTCATCTGTTGATGCTAATGTTGAAATGACTATGTGGCATGCTAGATTAGGTCATATAKGTCAACATAGAATGACTAGACTGGCTAGGGAAGGTTTATTAGGTCAATTTAACAAAATAGAATTACCTTTATGTGAAAGCTGTCTAGCGGGAAAAATGGCAAGAAAACCATTTGGTAAGGGAACTAAGGCTGAAACTCCATTGCAATTAATTCATTCTGATATTTGTGGACATATGAGTATAAAAGCTCGATATGGCAGTGAATATTTTATCACTTTTATAGATGATTTTACACGTTATGGTCAAGTTTATTTGATTTACCACAAGTCTGAAGCATTAGAATGTTTTAGAAAATTTTTAAACTTGGTGGAAAATCACTTAGATAAAAAGGTTAAGGTCTTAAGAATTGATCGACGACGTGAATATCTGTCTAATTAGTTTAGACAGCTATGTAACGAAAAAAGTATAGTAAGGCAGCTAACTACTCCTCGAACACCACAACAGAATGGAGTAGTTGAAAGAAGAAATAGAATTCTTCTTGAAATGGTTCGGTCAATGATGGCTCAAGCGAAATTGTCAATCACTTTTTGGGGTGATGCTCTATTAACCGCTGCTTATATCCTTAATCATGTGCCTTCCAAATCTGTTGCTTCCACACCCTATGAGTTATGGACTGGTAGAAAACCCGACCTTAGTGGTTTAAGGCCATGGGGTTGTGCTGCTTATGTACATGAGTCATCACATCCACATGGGAAATTAGGTCCAAGAGGTAAAAAGAGTATATTTATAAGATACTCGGAACACTCAAAAGGGTATGTATTTATTGGTGAACAAGAAACTGGGAGTATAATTGAATTTGAATCACGAGATGCTACTTTCTTGGAGAATGATTTTCTAAGGAGAGACGAGATCAGTGATGAGATATCCCTATTTGAAAATTATAATCAGAATGATTTGCTTTCATCAAATCCATCGTGGGATAGTCTCAGTACTGTACCAACAGTATCTCATCCAAGTGGGAGATATCTAAATACTACGTGTGATTTGGACGAACCACAAACCACTCGTGACTCAACCGATCAATTGTCAAGTGATTCAATGGAATCAACACGTGAGGCAGCTTATATACTTGGAGTCAAGATTGAAAGAGATCGCTCCAAAAGGATGTTACACAAGGCCAATACATCCAGAAAATTCTTGAAAGATTTAATATGCAAGACTGCAAACTCATTGATACTTCTATCGCAAAAGGTGAAAATTTGAGTCAAAGAATGTGTCCTACGACTCCTGAGGAAATAAAGATCATGAGAAAAGTTCCTTACCAGAGTGCAATTGGAAGCCTCATGTATGCTATGATGTGTACGAGACCAGATATCTGCTTTGCCGTTAGCATGATAAGCAGATACCAGTCAAACCCTGGTCAACCCCATTGGAAAGCTGTTAAGAGAATACTTCGGTATCTCAAAGGCACTATGAATTATTCGTTGTGCTACCAAAGAAACAATTCAGAATTAGAAGGTTACTCGGACGCTGATTGGGGAGGAGATATGGATGAAAGAAAATCCACCTCGGGATATGTCTTCTTACTCAATAATGGAGCAATATCTTGGAGTAGCAAGAAACAAACTTGTATAGCCTTGTCTACAATGGAAGTTGAATTTGTGGCACTTTCAGTGGCAGTACAAGAAGCAGTATGACTTAAGATTTTCTTAAGTCATTTGGGATTTAAAGAAAGCGCGCCTGACTCAGTATTGGTAAACTGTGATGGCAGGCTACTATAGCTTTCACGAAGGATCCCAAATATCACTCTAAGACAAAGCACATAAATATTAAATACAATTTTATTAGAGATATGATTGCACAAAAGGAAGTAAATGTGCAATATATATCAATGAGCAACAATATGGTTGCGGGCCCCTTTACTAAGTCTATTCCTAGAGATATATTTAATAGCCACATTAAATATTTAGGATTGCGAAGACTTTAAGTTTGTATTTCTGAACAAATTGTATTATGTATTTTGAACTATGGAATAAAGTTTTGTACTTTACTATGCATACACACAAAATGTTTAGAACGTTTAATGAGAAGTATGTCGGACAGTAGATTGGCTCTCTCACACGAGCAATCGCTTCTATGACTTGCGTGTCAGTTAGAAATGAGATAATTTTAAGCATTTTCATTGTTGTAGTAATACAATAAAATTTGAGAGCAATTGCTAGCTTAAAATGAGATATCGCCTTGATATGTGATCAAGATGAGATCATAGTATGATCGAAGGTAACAAATCTCATTATTCATCTTAAACTATCTTTGAATGCCAGATGGAAGTCCTGCTATCATTAGTTGATAAATTATTATGGTAGAGTTGAGGACTCAAGTTAGATATTGAGTATATCTGAACTATCATCTGTACAATATTTGGTTGAGACATACGCTCTAACGGCAAAGAGTAAAATACTGTAACATGTGTTTCATACCACGTGTGCACAATTTGACCACCAAGGGTAGCAGAAGTTAATTGATCTCTACTTCTTTGTTGCGTGAGACCTGTGAGATTAAAAAATCTCAACAAGTACCCTTATGACATTTTGTGGCTAAATTTTGGAAGTTCTATTGCAATGTTAGTTTTCTTAGGAAGGTTGCCAATGGTCATGAATGATTCGATCTAATGGGACCTACCTAGAAAGCAGTTGTTTGGGAATGGAAATCTTTTAGGAAAGGGAATATCATTTCGAGTGTCACATTATAGTGTATTCACAGGTCAACCAATTATATTTTTGTAATATAATTGTGAATACACACATATATGAAATTAATATTTCAAAAGAGATTATCAGTTGTGATAAATGTGACTAAATGACTCTAGGACACTTCATACTGACTCTACTCACTTATTCAAGTTACTTTACATACTTAACAGTTGTAAAGTGACTCACTCTCGAAATTAAAGTATGACGGTTACACGACCTGTTTTTTTTTGTATGATTTTTTATGCTGGTGAACTGGAATGTATTTCCTGTTTTTGAGACATTAAAAAATTCCCATAAGAAGATGAGACATAGTTTTTGTGTGGTTCGCACATAATGAAAGTACATTTGTGCGAGTGGGAGATGTAGGATTTATTAAATAAAAAAAAATTCAAATTTGAATTTGAAATACGGGAGCAGTTAAGTCTCCCATAAATCTCTCCAGTCTCTCTCATTGTGTGTGTGAGTAATACCGTGTGTGTAGTTTTGTCCAGAAACAGAGAGAGTGAGAGTTGCTGTAAAAAAACACACGGAGAAAGAACCTAGATTGGATTGTCTCAAAATTCTTCACCACTTGAAGAATTTAGGCGGTGAATTGTGAGATTTTTCCGTTCGTGATTGATCTCCGACCATGACTTGATTTTCGTGGATTCCGCTGCGACGCTACAAGAGTTTAGTATCCTATACCCACGAAAAACCAACAATTGACATAAACATGTATTAGGGCCATTTAAATTGGTTGAGATGAGTATTAGGTGGAAAATAATTAGGAAACATAATAATAGCAAGAACCAACACTTTTTTTTCCTAAGTTCAAAGACTTTAACAAAAACCTCTGGAAAGTTTAGAAACCAAAATGAAAATTTTAAACTTATATTAAAATAAAATATTAGAAAATGTTGGACGCAATTTATCATTTGGTATATGTCAACATTAGAGATCATCACTAAAGCTAGCATAGCTCAACGATAATTGACATATATATCTAATCAAGAATTTGTGAGTTAGATCCCCCACCCTTAGCCATAAGTCGAGCCGATTTACATTCTAACTATAGGCCGACCAGATTATAGACATGCTTTTTCACACGACATCTTGGTCTTAGGTTGTTGAGAGCCCTATCGAAGCTCGCCTCTATAAATAGAGAACCCTGAATTGTGCACTAACTTCAGTATCAGAGTGAAAGAATATTCTCTCCGAGTATTGATTGAATTGTGCACTTACTTCAGTATCGAAGTGTTAACTTTGTTTTGCAGGTCCTTAATGTTTCAGTTACCGAGTTCAAACTTTGTAGATCCGAACTTGATCATTTTTCTAATCAAACATAAAAGTTACAAACTAAAATACTAAACTATATATAAAAATCAAAGACCAAATAAAATAGTATGCATTAGCCAACAGGAACATAATTCAAGCAATTAAAATATTTTTACTTTGGTTGGAATCCGGACCTATTTGTTAAATGATATTCAAGAAAAGAAAATAGTATGTGTTGCTCATATCTTGTTGGACGGAGGTTGACAAATATATATGAGTTAGAATAATAATTAAAAACCAATAATTATGAATTGTATTGGCCAATTAAAAATTTTTAAATGATTGATTTAGGAGATGGGAGAAATAAGAAATTGGTCGTTTTGTATTCAACTATTCATTCACGTGAAGGGACAGAGAGAATGAGTTAAAAGAAACTAATAAAATATTTGAAAAAGATAAATATCTCCACAGTCGAAACAAAAAAAACAGAGAAAAAAAAACAATAATCATAATATTATTTAAGCTAGGTTCAAATGGACTTAAAAAGGCAAAAAAATTAATAACATAGTTATTGTTGAATTATATTAGTTAAATTCGATAAAGTTTATATTATATTATTTGAATTATGATTTGGTATTATAGATTTGGTATAAATATAAGTTATTAGATTTGTTAACTAATTCAGTGAAAATCTTTTTTATTATTACATGTGAGTGTTTAATGTTAGCTTACCCATATTTCAACCAACTCAATGGAATTAAGAAATTCATAAGATTTCTAGTAGATCACTGTGAAATTTGAATCCATTTTTTTTAATTAATTAATAGAGTTCAAATCTTGTTAATTCGTTAGTTTTTTAAAACAATATAATAAGTTAGTTATTAATACTAAAACGAGTATAATTCAACCGTAATTGGCATATATCTCAAGAGGTTGTGAGTTCGATCCCCAATTCTAATATTAAAAAAAAGTTAGTTTTTCATTTCAAATATAAACAAAGGTAGAGGCAAAGATTTGAACATTTGACTTAATTCATAGAACATTAATTTTGTCTGCAATGTTGGGAATTTTCTTTTAAATTATTGGTTTGAGATAGATGCTTTAATTAGTTGAGCTACGTGTTCGATTGGTGCAAGAGTAGGAAATTTTAATTTGTGTGATTAGATCAAATATTTTAATAATACTTTTAAAAATAATATTGCTTTATGCTAGCATGTCACATGCCACATCAAGCAGTCTTTTTCCTCCTACCTATTTTAATCCAAAAAATAATAGAAAATTACTAACAAACAAAATTGTAGACTCAAGTTGTCACTGTCGAGAGATTCTTTACGTTATTTTATTTTATTTATTATTATTATTATTATTATTATTATTTGTGTATGCATTTGAATTAAAATGGAAAAAGTTAAAATTACGAGGATGAAAATATTGTGAGTGTAAACAGATTTGTAATAACTTTCAAAAGTTTAAAGAAATATTGTGTAGAAAGTCTACAATTTCTTTGAAATATTTTAGTTTCTCAAGAACAAAAACAAAAGCAATTGTTCATAAACGACAAAACGAAAATTATTGTTTAACGACAAATCTCGTCAGTCATGCAAAAATGGAAATTACTAAATTAAGGAAAGAAAAAAAAAAGATAATCCGCACGAAAAAGAATGGACACAAAAAACAGACCAAATTCTACAAAAATAATAATAAGAAAAGTACCTAATTTCTACTTTATTTATTTATTCATTGTTTTATTTTATCCACAAATTTTTTCACTAAACTATGTTCGAATGAGCAGTGTGTGAATTAACTTTTATTTAAGTATTTATTTTATTTAGGTATTTCTTTTAAACTATGCTTTGGCCAACTTATGTACTGTTGGTAGAGAATTAAATATTGTTATTTTAATTTATATTTTTGGAGGGGTTTTATATCAACGTATGAGATTAATCAATACTTTATATTAATATAACTATGAAGATTAAGATCGATTTTCGATCTTGAAAAAGATTACTGATCTCTTGATCGTTGTTGACATGAAATATTTATTTACTAATTCAAATATGAGCTTAAATTTTATTTGAAGTTTTTGAACTATTCTAAATTTTTAAATGTTTATTTTGATTCTTAGATTTTTAGATTTATTTACTTCCAAGGACCAAAATAGAATAAATTTGGGATGAAAGTTTTTTTATTAATTTAAATGAGTTTAAATCTCTAGTCTCTAATTTTTTTGGACTTTTCTATTTGACCTTTAAATTTTTTTAGTTAATCTAGAATGTATTTTTTTTTAAAGAAAATTATCATTTTCGTTCGTGTTATTATTTTATTTACCATCAATTGTTTAACAAATAGATAATCCGACTTTGAATATGTGTATTGTGGAGCCATATAACAATGATTAAAGAATTGCGTTAGAGAAAAAACAATGATTAAAGACTTCTATTTCACTATCAAGGTATTTAAACTTTTCACCGATTTGTAAACTTCCTCATTGACATTTCTATATTCATAGCATCATTGATATAAATGGTTAATTGATATTTCATTATACCAAAAAATAATAACAAAATTAAAAAAAAAAAAGTCAACAAAAAGACTCATAATTAATATGAACATAACATTATTAATCAAAATTCTTTTTCAAACTCATTTAAAAAGTCCAAAATGTCGATTTAAATACTTCTTATGAATTCTATGATTCTATCTTATTATCCCAATTAATAATTTTATCTTAACAATCTACTCCCAATCAAGTTATCCGTGAAATTAATCGAACTGATTCAGTCACTAACCAAATAAAAAAAAAAAATAAAGGAAGTCACGGGTCAGTTCCATTTCTTATATTTTATAATAAAAATAGAAATACTTTGAATGACTCCCATTTCCACCAAGAGACGTTGAAACCATCG